TTTTTTTTTTCAGGTGGTGACGCCCACAAATTTATCTCTATAACATGGAATAACTTATCTCCTTAAACATAAGATTAATAAAATTCTTTTATTAATTCAAACCATACTCCCTCCTACTTCTTTTTTATCAACAGTTCATAGATAGAGTAATATATATGCCAATGACTAGGCCCAAGAAACTCCTTCCAGGCCAATAACACCTTTCTAGCTTCTCAACCTTGTCCATTTCTTGGTCCAATAACTATGTTCAAGAAACTCATTCAGGCCCAAGACAAGCATAATATAAGTTTCCCACAAGCCGAATAAATCAAGAATCAGTTTTCTTTTCTTTATTTATTCTTTCAACCGCAAAAAGAATCTTTGATGCTTCTTTCTCTGACCCAACCCAACTGAATACGAATCAAATTAAAAATTAGTTAATGTGAGTAAAGGCGTACGCCAACAACTTGATAGTAGAATTAATGATGTAAATCGTGAAATTATTTGACTAATTAATTACATTGTTTTAGAAAATGCTAAATTCTATCATTTTTAACAGCCTATTTATTTATCAATATAAAGAAGGGTTTGCTTTTTCTGCAGTTACTGTAAATAAATTATCTGCAGTATGTCCAATACGACGTCGTTTTGAGGTAAAAATCATGATACTTTTGTAATTTTAATTTATTTCAGAGTTATAATAGTCTTTATATTTATAATTTTTTAAGGTTTCAAGACCAAAACAACGTCGCTTTGAAAATAAATGCAGATAACTTATCTGATTAACTGCAGAAATATTTTTCCCTATAAGGAAAGGTTATATTTATAACTTTTTTAGTTTACAAATTCTTACAACCAATTTTTAATCGTTGATTTCCATTAATCTGATGGTTACTGTTTATTGAAAATTAATAATTAATTAATAAGTGTGACTAATAAATTATAACAGTCAGATTAGCAAAAATCAACGATGGTAAGAATTTGTATGCAAAAAAAAGTTATAAATATAATATTTCCCATCAATATAATTAATATTATAAACTTGTTCATTTAAGGTTGGAGGTCAACGAAGCCACTGAATTACAGCAAGACTAGAATTATGAAATAAATGTAACTAGCAATTTTTTATGTAAAATTATTTTCTGTGTCTTATAACATTAAAAAGATAAAATGATATTTATGCAGTGTGCACCAAAAGATCATGACTAATGTTCCGATTAGATAATACGAATGGAAATATTTTGTTTTTGTATTTTGTTTTTTGGCATGGCTGATAATTTTGGCAAAGTTAATGGTGCTGGCGACAAAGGTTATCTTCATATAAACTGAAGGGTGTTACTTTAAGTAATATATATTTGATTCCGCATAAACAAAGTTTTGAGTTAAAATTTTTATGAATGTAAATTTTGTTTTTTTAAGAGAGCTAACCGTATCATGATGTGGATATTTCCGGTTCAAATATGATTGCTTATGTGAAAACTACACGTGATTTATAAAAAAAAAAAAAAGGTTATCTTCGTATGAAGTGATAGCAAAGTTGATGACGCGGGTTGCAAAGTTGGCATTTGGCAACGTTCTTTGTGGAAATGGCAATAATACAACAATGCAGGCAGTGATGGCGCCAACGAAAACGATGATTCTATGAAACTTTACCTAATAGATAGTTTAATTATTTGATATTCGATAATGCACCTCATTTTTTTCTTACATGATATTTTTTTATATTAAATTTATAAGATAATAAAAGGGTATACAAAATATTTGACTTAAATATTATTTTTTCATTAACCAACACAGAAGATTTTGCATAAATTTTATAATAAATGAAGGTAAGCATAATAAATATTAAATACGCGAGAGAATGAAATAATTCACTAATATTTTAACAAGTTGCGTAACATTCGGTTTACTGTTTTATTAAGAAGCAGATCCACAGAATAAGTTAGAAAGGCAGGCCAAACAATATCAAAAAATAGGGAATACTAACTCTGGCATATGTTTTTGGCACTTGGAAGATGAACAAATTAATAACTCATATTTATAGTAATCAGTGTGCTGTTTTCTTCGTGGAATTGAATTTAGATAGTTGGCAGGTTGGACATCCACCGATGTCCTACGCATGTACCTTGCTTTCTAAATTATAATAATTCAAACGCACCACCAATTGAAATGGGTTTCCATTTCCATCATAATATATAAAGTACACAAAGTGGTTGACCAATAATTCTTCTACAACAATATTAGATTTGGTGATGTCCATCACATTATCTGTTTTGCTTTTTTTTTTTTTTTTTTTTTACCATCAAGCTGGATGCATCGATAAACAAGTTAAGTTCATAATAAACAAGTTTCCTTCGAGGGTATTTTTTTACCATAACCATGTAAAAAGGGGACCCTTTATTAGATTAATTCAAAATTAGAATATTTTACTAACATAATACCCTGAGAACATATAAAGGTGTGCGTTTAAGTTGCACACGAAGGAGATGTGTAACTTGTACATAGGTGAAGATACGTCTGTCACGTGGCACTACTAGTCGCATATAGGGAGTGTATGCATTCAAGTCTCTAGGGTGTTTGCAGTTCGGTTGGATTAAGTTTTCTTGGCCAAATTTTGTCTAAATCGAACTAAATTGGAAAACAATTAAACTAATTTATTTTTTCGAATCAATTCTGAACTAATATAACAACCATTTACAAACAACAAACTAAAGAATTTTAATCCAATAAATTGGATCAAATACAATAACATATCAAAATATCTTGGGCTTGTCAATGTTACAACTTGTATAAAGGTTTTGCACAATAATTGAATATGATAAGTGAAATATTGTGTATGATAAAAAAATGAGCAAAATAACATAAAAATATCAGTTTGGTTTATTAATTGATTTTTAAAAACCAATTTGATTCATCAACAATATATTTGTCCCAAATTAATTGGAGTCGGTGATGGATGAACACAAATGAAAAATATAAAAAGAATGAGGGAGAAAAAATGATAAAAAAATAAATGATACTAGAAATTAAAAAAGCAATAAATAATTAAAAATAAAAATAAAATAAAATTGAGTGAAAAAAAAAGAGAGAAAAAGAAAAAGAAAGGTTCGCCCATGCACAAATCGCACACCACCTCCTATACAAGACTTAAATGTCCACACCCCTAATAATCATCTCACCATATAATTTTGATATAATATTTGAATGTTGAATCAATATGGTAAAGAGTTTTCCTTTTATATCAAATGGGTCAAACGGAAGGGTCTAATGGCATCCCTTTGAGCTCTACAAATTTTATTCCCCAACAACTAGCAGCATCCTTAGCACTCTCAATAAGACAATATCAATACTTAGCAAGAAAGTTTGTGCATCATTTGACTATGGATATATGTATTATATATCCTCCTTTCATTTTCCTTTCTTTGACAATTGACTACGAATGATTCAAATCTAGCTGTGTCTATTGACTGGTATCTTTGCCTGCTATTAAACTCAAGAAAGGTCTCTGAAATTTATGAACATTTAAGGACTACAAATTTTCACCCATGTAAAAAACGGTAGCCTGCGTTGTGGTTTGAATAGAGGGGAAGATAAATTTCTAGAATTTTTTTATTATTATTATTTGGAAGATTGGAGAAAAATAAAAGAGACATGGAAAATTTTTGTAAATAAAAAACAGAATAAAAATAAAATAACATTCGTATAATTATAAAAAAAAACATGTTTAACTAAAAGATAAAGAAAAATAAGCCAAATACCCCATCAATTTTCATTTGATTCTTTTTTGAGATATATAGTCTCACATTGGTTGTATGAGCAACTAATGTGGAGTTTATAATACCTTGGGCTCTCCCACCCTTTGAGCTAACTTTTGGAGTGGTGTATCCCAAGATTCTTTATATTGTATCAGAGCCTCGTGTCCCGGGTTCGATCTTCGTCGCCCCTCACTTTAAAGTGGAATTAAAATAAAAAGCACAAAAATGTAAACTAAAAATTGGGCCTGTGCATAGCTTCAAGCCTAGGGGGCATGTTGAGATATATAGTCTCACATTGATTGTATGGTCAACTAATATGACCTTTATAAGGCTTTGGGCTCTCACACTCTTTGAGCTAATTTTTGGAGTGGTGTATCCTAAGATTCTTTACAATTATGTGTTCATTTTATCCTTGATTAAACTAAAATATTGATTTAAAAATACACTTAATGAAAAAGAAAATAAAAGTTGAAATCACAGGCTAAAACTGTACGAAAACCATGTTCCTGTTCATCACATTTCTTATATTTTTCGAGCACAAGAAATTTGAACTTTTATTGTGGACCTACTAGGAAAACACACAACGAATTAAATTTTTCACACACACATTTGAATTCCCTTGTTAAATCTTGGGTATATCCTTCAGGACTAAGCTTCCAAAAAGGAAGGTTTCTTTACAGCATGATTCATTTAATCTCTTGTTCATACACAATGTGAGAGAACCAGCAGAAAAAGCAAAGAAGAAAGAGACAGAGGCACAAAAAAAAAATCAATGTAAATTACACATTGTGTGACCAAAGAACAAAAGCAGATGGATAAAAAATAAAATTATAAAAAAAAAGAAGCAGCAATGGATAGCCATAAAAGCAACATTCACTTGTCATTTTGTGCCTCCCAATCATGTTCCTGTGAATTATATCAATACTTGTCCATCCCATTCACACTCATAACTTCTTTAACACTTTTTCTTCTTGATGCAAACCATAAACCTTTCAAAACTTTACCTACTGGCTACACCTAATTTTCCTAATCACATGGTAAACCACAAGGAAGTACATAGAAAAAAAGATAGACCACACTGATTTGCAAATTAGTGAAATTTGTAAATTAGAGTAAAAATCACTCTTCTTTGAACTTGACTAGCGAGAATGAAATAAGAACAATCTTTATCCGCTAGTTTACATTTACATATTTATAAAGAGACTGATTCTCGTATTAAAACCGTGACCTTTCGGTCACAAAAGAAGATTTTTACCACTACCGGAGGCTCGCACTCTTAAAATTTGTAAATTACTTCTTCTTGCTCTTAGCTTTGTTGTTGGAGAAGATAGAACCCAAACCAAAAAGGTTAGCAGGAGGAACATTCAGAACAGGACTGACTCGAACACTATTAGCATAAGACCCATGACTCCTCTTCAATGGAGGCTTTTGATGATTGTTTGGACACAAGGGGTGAGAAGGCCTTGTTGTTGAAGAACTATTCTGGGAATTTTGCTTAACTTTAGGACCTTCCTTTGATAAGTGCATCCTCTTAACACTTGGAGAAGACCCAGTTGAATTGCTTCTAGATAGAAGAGGCAAAGGGCATAAGCTACTTCCATATCCACTACCACAACTGCTACTTCTCTTAAAACGCCAAAAGGATTTGGAACTCTGCTTCTCTTCCACTTCATCATTCAAGCTCTCTTTGGGGCTCTCTTTCTTGGATTTTTTGTTGGTTGAAGCATTGTTACGAATAGCATATGGGAGTGGTAATGGAGGCTGAGGTGCTAGTTGAAGTGTTTGTTTCAAGGGAGCATTTTTCTTCTTGATTTCAATGGGAAGGATCCTCCCATCTGAGAAAAGCTCATCTGCTGAAGATGATTCAAGCTCTAAGCTTTCTTGAACACAGAAATCAAAATCAATGCTTGAATTCAAACCAGATGAATTTGATCTCAAAGGGTGTTTTTGTTGTCTCTCAACTGGTATGACATCTGATTGGGAAAAGTCATGTGAGAATGAAATCCTTGGACTCATAGAAACCCCAAAATTTTCTGAGGAAAGTTCAATAGCCATTCAAAATTTCACAAGAAAAACAAGTATTTTTTTATGAGAAACAAGACAGAACAATAGAGGGGTTCTGAATGAAGGACCAAAAACTCAAAAAAGAAAAAGAGAAAAAAAAGTTAGCAGCAAAAGTAGTAATCAATTTAGTTTATTCAAAAACTAAACAAAGATTGCAATAAAAGAAGTCTAAAGAGTTCAAAAAAATGGATAACATCAAAAGAAGGTTTGAATTTGTGAAGATATGAAATGAAATCAAAGTTTGTAACTTTTTTATTTTTTGCTTTTCAATGGTCTAATGGTGCAAACCAAAGTGGACAAAAGAAAAGGGGTAATGAGAGTGGAGGCTGAAAAGGTGTGATTTGTGAAAGAATATGGCATCTGGGTTTTAAGAGGAAACCAAAGATTGAGACTTTAGAAACGGAAATGGTGAATGCTTTTTGGAGAAGATTCAAAGGTTAGTTTTTCTTTTGGAGAGGTTGGCTGAGACATGAAGTCAAGAACTCAAAGGTGGTAGTTAAGAACCTTTGAATAAAATGAAATTGACTATCCCGTATGAATAAAATAAAATAAAATAAAAAAGAACAATTCATTTGTAACTCCTTTTTAATTTATTATTTGGTCATATGTTTTCATCTATTATTAAATGCTAACTTATTGACATGCTTGACCATATATATATATATATATATATATATATATATATATATATATATATATATATTTACCTTTTATTAAATGCTAACTTATTGACATGTTACTAACAAAGTCCAGCACAGTTGGTAGATAGCTGAATTCTTTAAGCATGTTGACAGGAGTTTGATTCCTGGTCATGTTTATGGAGAAAGCTTTGTTGGGAGAGATTTACTCACTTAATGTGATCTTCCGCCTCTAAAGAATTAGTCTTCAACTGTCAGCTGAAGGATACCTTAAGAAATCAAAAACTTATTGACATGCTTGACCATATATATATATATATATATATATATATATATATATATTTTGTGTCTTCAAGAATACGATTCTTAATTTATTTTCTTCAATTATCTTAAAAGAAGTTAATAATATTTTTAGTGAACAAGAGTTAATAATTTCAAAAGGGTATCTTTTACTTTTCCTAATTTGAAGAGTTTTCTTTCTTTTTTTTTTTTTTTTTCATTTTCCAATGAACAATAAATAACGAAGAGGTTGGATTAATCACACCCATTTAATGGGTGAGTTAAGATCCCAATATCAATTTTGAGGTGAAATCGAAACATTGGAACCAATGACTATATTAAAGTATATATTAATTCTTTAACTGTAATAAACAGTTATTTCAAAGGTAAAATCACAATGAATAATTGAAAGATAATACAATTTACAATTGGAATAAATTAAAAAGCTCATTTTATATTTTTCTTATAAATAATAGCTTTATTTATTCCAGCAAATATTAAAAAAGGTAGATAGCCAAAGTCTTCCTGACAAGAAGAAGAAAGATTCACTATGCATGTGAGAGATGTTTAAAATCAAATCAATCTAATCAAAATAAAAAAAATAACGCTAACTACCAAAAAAATATAAAAATATAAAATAAATTAATTAAATAAAACTTAACTTAAAAAAAAAAAGATTTTCGAACTAAACTTAAAAATTGATTCAATCTAGACCAAATCAAAATCATATATATATTTACAAAGATATTCTATTTAAGAAATTTATATTATCCATACTTATTATCTTTGATAGATGGTAGTTATTTACAGTTATTTTCTGTTATTTTAGCTTCCCTTTCTGCTATATAAAGCAGCCCATCATGTACTCTTCATGTTAATCAAATACCAAATATTTCATTCTCTTATTGCTTCTGTTTTCTCTTTGTTCACACCGTGTGTGAATAGTTCCTTTTCATCTCAAAGGTCTGATATCTCACATGGTATCAGAGCTATTCAACGATCCATGGATTCTGATCAATCATCTCCAAGATCCGCAACAAGCAATGAAAATGCAAAATCAGTCAAGCTCATTATGAAATCTTTCTCAAATCCCATTGCTGACAAGCTTGATGAAGAAAGCTTTCTTCCTTGGGAACAACTTGCCCTTGCTTCAATACATGGGCACAACTTGCAGGATCATCTCAACAAAGACAAGATCCCCACCCGTTTTTCAACTCAAGAAGATAAAGAAAGTGAAAAAGAATCTGAAGAATATGCAACCTGGCATCAACAAGACCATCTTCTTGTATCCTGGCTGCTGTCCTCCATGAATATATCCTTCAAAAACAGAATGGTAGGATGCAAATTCGCCTATGAAATTTGGACAAGGCTTCAAGTGTATTTTGCCTCACACACTCAAGCAAAAGTTAAACAACTGAAAAACCAGCTGAAGTCCATCAAGAAGAAAGGACCAGCATCTGAATATCTCCTTCAAATCAAGAAAATCATTGATTCTTTGGGAGCTGTAGGTTCTCCATTAACTGATGCAGAATATTCTGAAGCCATCCTTGATGGTTTGAGTGAAGAATATACTCCTCTCATCACTTCTGCAATGTCACGATTCCCACCCTTTTCAATCATAGAATTGGAAGCTTTTCTCCTTGCTCAAGAAGAAATGCTCGAAAGATTCAAAAAGACAGATTCTCTCCCTATTCAAGCAAATGTTACACAAACCAATCTGCAGCAAGAAAACAAGACCACCAACACTGAAGGAAGGTTCAACAGTAATGATGGAAGATCCTTTGGAGGAAGAAGAGGCAGAGGAGGCCGTGGCTTTAGAGGTGGAAGATCTCAAAGTCAGTCTTGGAATTCTTGGAATCAACCTCGCTTACAATGTCAAATATGTGGAAGAGTAGGACACCCTGCTCTAAAATGCTTTTACAGATTTGATTCCAATTATCAACCATCATCTCACAGCACCCAGAAGTTTCAACAAAGGGAGGGTTTTGACTTTGATGAAGTATTCAGTCCTGTCATTAAACCCTCCACCATTCGTCTCATTCTTTCCATTGCTCTCACAAAAGGCTGGATCATCAGACAATTCGATTTTAACAATGCCTTTCTTTGTGGCACTTTACATGAAGCTGTCTTCATGCAGCAACCTGATGGCTTTCCCAGCAACAATCCTCATCTTGTTTGCAAGTTAAACAAAGCCCTTTATGGTCTCAAACAGGCCCCCCGTGCGTGGTTCAATACTCTCAACCTTACTCTTCACAAATTCGGATTTCACAGCACCAAATCTGATCCTTCATTGTTCACTCGGTTCACTTCCACTTCTACTACTTACATCCTTGTGTATATTGATGACATACTCATTACTGGCAACAACTCTACTGAAATTTCCTCTCTTATATCTCAACTAAACAACATCTTCTCTCTTAAAGATCTAGGACAGCTTCATTACTTTCTTGGGTTGGAAGCCGTCTACACCTCTCCTACCACCATTCATCTGAGTCAAACCAAATACATCACTGATCTTTTAGAGAAAACCAAAATGACCTCTGCAAAACCTATGCCTACCCCAATGCTGACGGGTCAGAAGTTATCAATGGAAGGTGACACTGCTTTTCCAGATCCTACTCTCTATAGGTCCATTGTTGGTGGATTGCAATATGCCACTATCACTAGACCTGATCTTTCTTTTGCTGTCAATAAAGTTAGCCAGTTCATGCATAAACCTCTGGAAACTCACTGGAGAGCTGTTAAACGCATCCTCCGATATTTAGCTGGAACCAGAACACACGGTCTTGTCTTTCATCAATCCAAGGACCTTCGCTTACTTGCCTTTTGTGATTCTGATTGGGGGTCTGATATTGATGATCGCAAGTCTACTAGTGGATTCTGTATATATCTTGGTTCAAATCTTATATCTTGGTCCAGCAAAAAGCAACATGTTGTTTCTCGATCCAGCACAGAAGCAGAATTTCGCAGCTTAGCCTCTACGTTGGCTGATATCACTTGGCTTCAGTCACTTCTTCATGAGCTGCATATTCCTTGTACTACTCTTCCCACTGTGTTTTGTGAAAATGCAAGTGCTGTCATGTTAGCAGCAAATCCTATTCTTCATAATCGTACAAAGCACTTCGAAATTGATCTCTATTTTGTACGGGATCGAGTTATTCAAAAGCAAGTTTTCGTTCAGCATATTCCTGGCACCGAACAAATAGCAGACCTCCTCACGAAACCTATTTCCGCTGCCACTTTTCTATCCTTTAGAAACAAACTCAGAGTCTTTCCTCTGCCACTGAGTTTGAGGGGGGATGATAGATGGTAGTTATTTACAGTTATTTTCTGTTATTTTAGCTTCCCTTTCTGCTATATAAAGCAGCCCATCATGTACTCTTCATGTTAATCAAATACCAAATATTTCATTCTCTTATTGCTTCTGTTTTCTCTTTGTTCACACCGTGTGTGAATAGTTCCTTTTCATCTCAAAGGTCTGATATCTCACAATCTTAAGCCAAATATTCTTTATCTTTTATTTTAATATATATTTTAAAATAGAATATTAATTTAAAATTAATTTTTCAATGTTTTTTGATGAGTTTGTTTGAATATGTATTCAATGTATCTTTCAATGAGTTTTTTAAACTTAATTATATTTATGTATTTTAATGACTAATATTTGAAAAACTGTAAAAAAAAATTAAAAAATCTAACCCAAACTAATTTAAATTGAATTAAATAAAATTTATATTTTAAGTAAAATCAATCAAATAATATTATTAAAAGTTCAATTATAAAGGTTGATGGCTGGCTTACCAAAAAAAGGTTGATGGCTGTCTTGTCACTGCTCCGCGACGATGACATATTAAGGCTTCTTCGTGTTGGATTGTAAAACAATAATGGATATAAAAAATGATTAATTATAAAAATAATTAATGTGAAAAGAAAATTTTTGAAAGCTTGAATTTGTTTATGGGTTCACGGTTAATATAGATAATTTATCTACAGTAAGCTTAAAACAATGTTATTTTAAGGTAAAAATCAAGGTATTTTTATAATTATGATTTATTTCAGCATTATAATATTCTT